GCAGATGAGAATTGATCTGCACTCTGTGGGATGCACTCAAGTGACCCCCCAGCAGGCAGGAGCAGGTGGGACACTTGGGTTAAGAAGGATGGTTGCAAGGACAACTGTGGAGTGCTGAGCATGGGTCAGGCAGACCACCAGTGCTGGTTCCGCCTGCGTTTGGTGAGAGTTCCTCCTGAATACAGCATGATGCAAGAAGGATGGGTAAATAATGGGGCAGCATTCTTGCCTTGCTCAGGTTTCCCAAGGAACAAGGTGACTGTGTGCCCAGGCCACCAGTGTCGTTTGCCTAATGGAGGGTGGAATAAGGCTCTGATCTGAGTCATCAGAGGCTTCTGTCCTGTGGGCTGGAGCACGTTCTGTAAGCTCCTCGTGTGCTGGATAGCACCTGCTGTAGTTTCAGCTCTTCCTGCTGGTGTTCTGTAATAGGTTGATCAGAAGTGTGGGAATTTCTGCAGCTTTTCCACTTGGCTCTCACAGTGGGCAATATTGAGGTTACTGAGCACTGGTGACAAGCCAAGCAGGATGTCTGATTCTTGACGTTCGGGATGTCGTTCAATCCTTGCCACAACCACATGAGTTTAGGTATTATGCTCTTTGGTTTTTACCTGCTCTGAGCTATGCTAGCAGTGCAGCCTTGGACCTATGTCTCACTCTGCTCATCTGTGAACTGGAGATAATTGCTCCTAAGTCATAAGGCAAAGGTTCTTAAAGTGTAGCCTGGGTACCCCTAGGAGTCCCCAAGACCTTTTCTGGAAGTTTGCAAAGTCCAAACTATTTTTGTAATATCACTAAGACACTAATTTGCCCTTTTAATTCTCATTCTCAAAAGACTACAATAAAGTTTTCTTGAGCCTACATGAGTTGAGATAGTGCAGATTGAATGCAGTGCAGATTGAATGCAGAAGCAGACAGGAGAGTCCAACTGTTTTCTAGTAGGTTAGCATTTACGGAGATTTGCAAAAATGTAAAACAATGGTTAGGGCGTCAGCCACATGCACCGGGGCTGGTGTGTTCAAACCCGGCCCGGGCCTGCTAAACAACAATGACAACAACAACAACAAAAAATAGCCAGGTGTTGTGTTGGGCACCTACTTGGGAGAATTGCTTCAAGAGAATCGCTTAAGCCCAAGAGTTTGAGGTTGCTGTGAGCTGTGATGCTATGGCACTTTACTGAGGGCAACATAGTGAGACTCTGTCTCAAAAAAAAAAAAAAGTAAAACAATGTCACTCATATATATATGTGTGTGTGTATGTATGTATACATATGTATATTTGCTGTGGAAAATATTGGTCATGAAAATGTTATTTATGTTAATGTGTAATATGTTTATTATTTTTAAATGAATTAATATATAATTTCTCCCATTTTAATTTCTAATGCAGTGGATATCTATATCAGTGGATATAACCTGCATAAACAAAAAGGTCTTTGGGGTGGGGTTCTCAGTTTTTAAGTGAGTAAAGGTGTCTAAAACATTTTATGATCATGGTCCTGGAGTTGTGACAGGTACCCTGAAAGTGATTTGAGCAGCTTTGCCCCTTGTAAGTGCCCTGTAGCCATTACCTCTCCTCTGTTCCCATGGTAAGTAGGGGGAGACCCTTTTTGAGGGTCAGTTTATGTCTATTTTTCTCCCTGCTCTGTTCCTGACTCCAGAGATTCGTTCTTGATTCCATTGTCTTGATGTCTAGCACAGAGATTTCATACCTGGTTCCTGTTGGGGCTGTGTATGTGTCTGGATCGTACTGTTGAATCAACTGTGGACTTCGCCATCTTGCCTTTGTTTTAGAAATCGCTCCTTTGGAAAGCAGGGCTAGGGCGATTGCTTCAGGAATCCCATGGGCTCTGAGCCCAGTGTGCTTAAAAAATCTTACTGGGAAGAATTTACTGTTGAATGGTTGACAGGGTTGACGGAAGAAGGAGGATTTTGTTGATGACTTAACTTTCCTTTAAGAAGATAGCTGTGAGGATTTACAGGGTGATGTTTGAAAGGACACGTAATAAAAATACAAGTGTCTTGATTCACAGAGTCTACGCAGTTCTGAAAACCACAGTTGTGAACCACATAGGAAAATCACCCATCAAGAGGAACTCAACTGGCAGCCCCTTTGGAAATGTGAATAATCATCTTTTTGTGTTACAAATCCAGTTCCCATAACGTATGCTATTTACATGCAGTGAGATAGACATGCTAAAATAATTGAGGATTTGTTTTAAACGTGTATTTTTTTTTTTTGAGCTCCTTACTATGTCACCCTTGGTAGAGTGCTGTGGCCTCATAGCTCACAGCAACCTCAAACTCTTGGGCTAAGGCAATCCTCTTGCCTCAGCCTCCCCAGAAGCTGGGACTACAGGTGCCCGTCACAATGCCTGGCTTTTTTTTTTTTTTTAGAGACGGGGTCTCATTCTGGCTTAGGCTGGTCTTGAACTCCTGAGCTTAAGCAATCCACTTACCTCAGCTTCCAAGAGTACTAGGAATATGGCACAAGCCACAGTGCCTGGCTCAAGTGTATGATTTTAAATGTGACTTGAGAGAGAGAATTTACCAAACTGAATTGTGAAGCCATTTGTCAGGATTCCTTTTAGTTTGAAAAGGCATGAGTGCGCTGTTCTCCTAAATCAGGTCAAGAAAGTTTCCCACATTCATTGTGATCTCATTGCCGTACGTAGAAGTAGGGAAGGGGCAAAGGAGTTGAGGAGGCTGAGGGTGGAGAAACCCAACTATGAACCCGTAGATCCCGCCACACCCTCTCCCTCCCTGCATATCAAGTTTATTGTCTAAGGCTTGAATGAATTGTAATAAGCATGTAGGGGTTTTTTGGCAGTTTAATTCTAGTTTGAGGGTGCAGTAGTGTATTACCATCATGAGCCCTGAAACCGCTCTGAGGCTTGGTCTGGGGTCCTGGCCAGCAGTTCGTGTGGGTAGAGGGGCTCGGGCAGAGGGGAGAAAAATGATCTTTCGTGGTGTTCATTTGTCCCAAGAGGGCTCACTGACAACACCACCAGCGGGACTTGTATTTACTCCTCACTAGAATTCTTACTTCTCAGTTCCCATTACTCTTTTTTTTTTTTTTTTTTTTTAA